ACGTCCTATGTTGGATCTGAGGGGAGTCCAGCTCGGCAGGCCCACAGCAACAATCCAAAAGGTTATATAGTGCAGAAGCAAACAAAGAAAATCAAAGTGCCAGAGCACAAGCCATCTTCCCTCAATAGCTTTGAGAACTATACCAGCAGTTTAGCAACAAAGAGAAATTAACTCAAGTTGGTTCTCAGCCTTCATATCTTTTCTTAGCCTCAAACTGCAAAGCCAATGGAAAAAGTATCCAACAGGTTCATTAATACAAGTTAATTTGTTCACACCACTGGGCTGCTGTTATAATTTGGCCATGGTGCTTACAAGAACTCTAAAGCCCATCTGCCTGATAGGCAGAGGCCCTAATCACAAGAAGAACTCTATTTGGATCTGTCAATTACATGTGAGAATCCTTTGAAGAGATGTCCTGTTTGGGGCTGTATAATTAACAGAGCTTGGCAGGTAAGGTTAGATCAGCAGCATGTTTAAAGGAGGAGTGGGTCAAGGGCAGAGAATAACGGAAATGTACTCACTTTGTAAAAGGATGGAAGTCCTTAGTAGTGACGGACACATACGGTTCATTGAGACGCAGCACTGCCTTGTCACAGATGTAGAAGGGTTTGCCTGCCATCTCTTTATTCTGTGTGCTGGCCACAATGGACTGCAATGAAAAAAAGAACAAAATGGCACTAATTCTGAAAAAATGTGGTAGCTGGAAACGCAATCCCCCCACTATAGAGGAAACAGTTGAGAAGATGGCTCACCCAACCAGGCCTAGTGTTACCATATGACATTTGGGAGAAGTTGTTGAAGTCTCAATGCCCTCCCAGGACCCACAATTGTATTGGCTCCTATTTGCTATGGTTGCATTGCAGTGAAGGCCAGATCCATATTTCAGGGGTGGAGGTAGCCTTGGTGGTGCAGTAAGGAGCCCAGTGGCACAGTGGTTAAATGGTGGAACTGCAGCCACAAGGTTGTGAGTTCGATCCCAGATCTCTAAGGTTGATTCAGCTTCCCATCCTTTCATAGGTCCGTAAAATAAGTACCCATCTTCTTGGGGGCAATTGGATAAAACACTGTAAAATGCTTAGAGAGTGCTGAGTTCACTGATAAATGGTATAGAAATGTAAATTCTATGCTATTGCTCCTGCCCCACACCACCCTCCGCCATGCAACTATGTCTGGCTTGATGTTTTAAGTTCTCATAACACCCTGATGCAATACCCCATCGAGGGCATTGTATGAACTTTAAACAGCACTTCTGTATTCCTGGTGTTAGATAAGAGCTGTTCCTTAGATAAGACATTGGACTACCTCCACCCCTGAAATATGGATCTGGCTCTCACTGTAATGCAACCATAGCAAATAGTAAAAACCAAATCATTTTTTTCTAATTCCACAAGTAGCATACAAATAAATGCAAGGCATATTGGCAAAACAATGAATTTTAATTTGGGAGTTTTGACTCTAGCTAGCCCTGGATTGGCCTTAAGGAAGAAAAAAAGATACAGAATCATAGAATCTTAAGAGCTGGAAAATACCACAAGGGTCATCTAGTCTAACCCGCTGTCATGAAGGAATACACAATTTTAAACATGCAGAAGGGAGATTGCACACCTCTAAGCTGAGAGAAAGAAGACTGTAGCTAGGCTTTCACATACTGGGTCCACTTAATCAGAAGCAAGTAGACTGTGGTCCAAAACAAACTGCAGAAATAATCCAGTTTGAAACCGCTTTAGCTGCTCTGGCTCAATGCTAGGGAATTCTGGCAACTGTAGTTTTGTGAGACATTTAACCGCCTCTGTCAGAGAGCTTTGATGCCACAATAAACAACAATTCCCAGGATTCCCTAGCACTGAGTCAGGGCAGTTAAAGTGGTCTCAAAGTGGATTATTTCTGCAGTGTGATTTGGACCTCAGTCTGCAAAAGCCTGTGCCACAATCCTCCTTTGGTTAGTCTCAAAAGAGCTACAATATCTCTTTGCATACTGATCCAGACTAACATGGCTATGTCTTTAAATTCTTTAATTTACTGATATTCTGTATATAACATTTGACAAGCAAAAGATGTCAGTGGGAGGATGTTCTCCTTGGAATACAAAATACCTTGGATGCTCCATCTGCATGATGTGCAGCCAGTCCAAAGGGTTGGGGTCCAGCATAGAAGGTGGGCTCCTGTGGCAGATTGGGCCATCCTGGATAGTGGTCCCTGGTCTCACTTTTCTGGTTGCCCATGGTCAGTGGGAACCTCCATGCTCTCGGCTTCAGCTGTTGAAAAGAAAGAAAAGAGCTGGGGATAAGACTCAATGGAAAGTGGGTAGGCTGGCAATGTCAAAGCTCTGAAAGTTACCAGTAATTAGTTATTGTTATATATGGCAGACACAGCACTGGGAAGATACAAGCTACATGTAACAGGTTCCTGCAATTGGATGTTGGTAATGAAGCCATGAACCAGTATGGTGTAGTGGTTTGAGTGTTGGACTATGACTCTGGAGAACAGGGTTTGAATCCCTGTTTGAGCACAAAACCCCACTTTTTGTTACATGTATTTCTCATCTGGAGCTTTTTACGCAATACTAGGATAAGAGAATGGCATAACATTTGGGAGAGCAGCTAAAGCGGTTTCAAACTGGATTATTTCTGCAGTTTGCAGTCACACCCTCTCAGCCTCAGAATGGCAAACCTCCTATGAAGAAACTTGCCAAGAGTACCCTATGATATTAGGACATTAGGGTCACTATACATCAAAAATGACTTGGAGGCACATAACAACAACAATAATGAGGGCATAACAAGGTATTTTACAAGTGATCTGTACAATATTTACAAGTGGGAATAAAGTTTCTTTACAGGTGTAATGATCCATGTTTTAAAGGGCATGGTAAAAGGTATTTTGAATTCCCCCCTCCCAAATGTTATGCCATTCTTTTATCCCAGTATTGCGTAAAAAGCTCCAGATGAGAAATACATGTAACAAACCCAATTACCTACCATCATAGACTGCATCTGCTTACTACTACTGGTGGGAATGGGAGGGAGCCCGCAATGAGTGAGTAAGAAACAGAATTACAGAATCTTAAGAATTGGAAGGGACTACAAGAGCCATGTAATACAACCCCATTTCATGAAAGAATACACAGTTTTGAATATGCAGAGGATACTTCAGTACCTTTGAGACTGTAAGAGAAAGAAGGTTGTAGCCTACCGTAAGTCTACTTCATCAGAAGCAAGTAGACTCACAGTCTACAAAAGCTTATGCTACAACCAGTCTCAAAAGTTCTACAATATCTCTTTGCATACTGATAGACTAACACAGCTTAGTCTTTGAATTGTACAATTTAAAACATTTATTGATTTTCTGTGTGTAACATGTGACAAGCATTTATGGTTAGAACAGCTTCATACAGCCTGGAAGCATTTTAAACTGAGGAGGTACACAATGCCCCTTCATTGTTTTGCTTCTTTAAATTTAAAATGCAGAAGTGGTCAGTGAATAAGGAAGATTTAAAAAGTAAAACTTGAGGTATCATGTGACATTTATCTTCATTACAATTCTGGAAACATTTATGTGGCTTATGCCACACAAGGGGCATACAACTCCAACTCCACCCCAAGTGCCACAGTTCCATCCCATGCATCCTGGGATTGTCAGTCTGGGGAAAGGGTAATCTATCCTCTGTTTCCTGCAGAAAAAGAACCTGAATACCAAGGTTTTCTTTCCTCGCAGAAGTGGAGGGCATCTTATGTTGGGAGGTACCAGAATCTCATCTCAGGAGGGATACTCAGTGATCTCTTACGCACCAGACACTCTTTGCTGTATCCTCTTTCCAAAGGAAGCTGCTGCTGAAGTTTAAGTATTACATTTGTAACATCTGTCAAAAGAGTAAAGAATTTACCCAGTAAATGTGGCACCCTGTATAGAAAGTAGCTGATGTGGCAACATTTCATCTGGAATGCTTTGTGATGCCAGCTGGAATGGCGGCAAATACAGATCTGGCACACAAGGAAAATGTAGCCCTTGCCCACTTTTGACAGTGTAGCTGAAGTCACCTTCATCCCATTCACAGCTGGGTGAAATGACACAAATAAGTAGTTTGAAAACCCCAAACTTTCAGTTCTTTTGCTGTAAACTTTTAGTACTCTCCTCACACTCAGTTTTTGCCACCATTTTTCTTTCTTTCTCTGATCTAGGGTTCAAATGGAATGAAGGTGCAATCGTCACCTGTGCTTCATGAAAATTCAAGTTCACATTCGGCATGAAAGATGGATCCAGAAACTTTACTGTTGAGTCTTCAGGGAAGATGAAGAGCTGCTTCCTGACTGAAAGAGTCCTCAGTTTGGACACTATGAAGGCCAGCATAATGGCCACCAGAAATAAAGGTGTTTTTTTTTGTGTGTGTTTGCAACAGAAACATACTTTGTGTCTTCCTAATGTGTTCAAAAGGAGCATTACAGCCTTTAACACCAGGTCCAGGTCCTATGATGGGAAACAGTGAACAACATGTACACATAAAATTGCTGCCTCTTTCAAGAAACTGTTTATGTAGAGATGTTTTACCAGGAACCTGCCCATTCCTGTTCTCAAGATGGATCCCAAAGCTATCGGCTGATGTTTTTCATGTGTTAGTTTTAAAATGTTGATTCAAACTTCTCTGAATAATAACCAAGATGGATATTATGCAAGGGGATTTTGATACTGAGAGAAATAAGTTGGTAGCATAAGCTTTTGCAGACTTAAGTCTACTCCATCAGATGCAAGAAGTCAGAAGTAGACTTAGGTATATGAAAGATTATACTACCAACTTCTCTGTCTCAGTCTCAAAGGTGCTACAAGATCCCATGGCATAATGATCCAGACTAACACACTTAGGTCTTTGAATTCTATCAAAACAGATGTTGTTCTCCCTGGGTCACATCACTTTCTTCTATACCACCTGCATAAGGCTCTCAATGAAATCTCATATAGTCTTTTAATGGAAGGCTGTCAAGTCACCATAATAGTAAGATTAACTGTTCTAAGTAACCCAGGGACTGTACTTTCCATTGCTCAGTTTCTACCTGTGGAATGGCAGGACTACCTGTTGACTCAAGAGATACCAGCCTGCAAGACCACAGCTCTTGAACTGAGACAATTCAAAAACCATGTCTTCTGCCATCAACTAGGAACCATCAGTGCAACTTTTGCTGTTTCTGCTCTGTTTTCCATATTATTCTGAATAACAGGGTATTGGAGGGAAGGCATAACACTGGTCTTGTGGCCAGGGTGATGCAGACACATACATTCCTTCTTCTTGCTTCATCCAGAATCAAGGCTTTAATCTTCTTAGGTCTGTTAAGCATGGAACATTGTCTTGGGTGTTGGACTATGACTCTGGAGACGAAGATTCCCAGCTCAGCTAGGAAACACACTGGGTGACCATGGGCAAGTAACATACTCTCAGCCTCAGAGGGAGGCAATGGCAAATCTCTTTTGAACAAATCTTGCCAAGAAAACCCCATGACAGGGTCACCTTAGGGTCACCATAAGTTGGAAATGACTTGAAGGCCCAAAACAACAACAAAGAGGAAAACCGGTCTGTTACTGGAAGGCTGATTAGTTCCTTCATCTGATTGAAAAAATCTGAGGATAAAAGGCTCAATTCCCTGAGGAATTGAGCTGCCCATATAAATATGGGCAGCTTGTGAGCTGCCCATATAAATATTCTGCTGACAAAGAATGTAGATGACTCTACTCAAACCAGCTGAACCAATGTTTTGCTCATAAGGTGCTTCCCTCATTAGATGCTAGGACTTTGGTCCTCCTATTCTCATCATGATGTGGGCCTTTGTGGAAGTGTTATTAATCTTTACAAGAATGTATTTTCCTTGTAATAGTAGAAGAAAGGCATGCAGTACCAGTCTGAATGTCCTCAGCTGTAGCCAATTGATGTTATGGGAGACACCTGTTGTGGACCCCACCTGCCTTGTGTGAACTTTGACAGGCAATGAGCTCCCTACCCTTTCAGGCCTGCATCTCCTGAATAATTTCTGACACTATTATTGAGTCAAATGATTTTCTTAATGTTGAGGATACATGGATTTCTAAGTGTTTCTGCAATTTCTTTCTGAAATGGCAGAAACAACCAAAAGAGTGTTCTTTCATGGCTTGTGGCCCATGAAACACATGGCATGCATGCCACCAGCAGAGCATAAGTCATGCCAGAAACATCAGTTGAACCTCTTCCTGTCGATCAACAATTTTTCCGAAAAGGATACCATTCCGAAAGAGATATCATTTCCACACTGTTACTGACGATGGCTCCCAGATGCAGCATCTGCTGTACAGGAGTAAGATGACACTTTCAGCTGTTTACTAGAAAGCTGTGTAATGTTAGACATATTACGCTGGCGTGAACATCCTTGAACCCTTGCTGAAAGATGGAGAATGGATTAGGAGATTATCAAGCTAACAGTGCATATGTACTCTCCTTGATTTCAAGTGAGCCGTCAATGGCACTAAGACCTTGATGGACACTCTTCAGGCTGTTGACAGGTCAAATTCTATGGCCTCATCCAAAAACAAGCTCCCTTTTACCAGAGGACCTCTTGTCTC